ACAAATCAATTGCTGGAATTATTAGAGAAAGAGGTGATACCTCTTTGCTTTTTTGTACTAATTTTGAATTTTGAACTAGAATCATGTCTCCATGTGTAGCTTCGTCATGGTTTAAGATATTTTTTTGTCTATGAAATATTGAATATATCTTGGTTTGCTAAACAAGCTCATCACAGTCACACCAAAAACTCAAGTTCTGAAAGGTGCCATTTTTCTGCCTCATTTCTCAAACTTCAAGCCCTTTTTCTTAGTGTATTTGCTTCAAACACAAGAAGATTAGCTTAAATATTTTGCAAAATTAGAGAACTTTTTACTGGTTATCGGTTGGGACATGAAGTGTGCTTGAATAAGTGAGTGGCATATTTAATAAACATGTAATGACTTGGACTTATGGTGCTGGTGTAGGCTAATCCGTACCTTCAAATAAAACACCCTTTTTTTTGGATATGTTTATTCATTTTTGTAACAACTTTTAGTTTTATTTATAACTTAAATTTAAGTTTACAATTCTCACTGTAATACCTGTTCATGAAGTAAGATACTTTTTTTTTTTTTTTTTTTTTTTTTTTTTTGAGAAGGTAACAATTTTGTATATATATCAACTGCACCACGGAGGTGCAGTCTTTCAAATAAGATACTTCTTCTGAATAGCCTTCTTCATCATTTATAAATTATGCGTTGCTCCAATGTGGCTCATCTATTTGCAGCAGATGTTTGGCTTTATCGTATCCTAAGAGACTTGTTTGTATTCTCCTAAATAGTACACATCTAATATTCCTCAAGGAGAATCAGTTTTCACGCTTCAAAGCTCTCTTTCAACTTCATTTCTATTTTTCTGACGCAATATATCAACGATTGGTATGATAGGGATGGTGTCCATCGGAGATGTTGTCCGTGCTGTTGCAACTGAGCATAGGGATGAGCTGAAAATGCTTACATACAAGGAGGTTACTAGATGGTGATGACGATAAACAAATGGATCAAGCGCTTAATCTTGTAAATATTGGCATGCTTGAATCTATGATGCGCCTCTGGAAGTAGCCTATTACACTTCTTTTTCAGTTTAGTGTACTTTTAACTAGCAGATGTTTAGGATGGCAATTTCTCTACACAAAATAACAGCAGTTTCATCTTGATTTAAGGGATTACCATTCACATATTCTCATGAGCATTATATGGTTCTTTTACCTTGTTTGAAAGATTTTAATATGCTCCTACATAGTTGGAAACCTTCACATGTGTGAGCTTGCTCACACGCCGCTCAAATAAAGGACGAGTGCACAGATGCGGATCTAGGATTTCTAGTACATGGGTGCACTACTAATAGAGGAATAAGATACTACGAGGGAATTGATCCCTATCCCTCTTGATAAATAACTTCATCGTCACCAAGTGCACCATTCAACACTCTTAGAGCATGGGTGCCACCAATTAATATTATATCAATTTTAAAAAATATGTATATAAAGTATCTAAATTGGCCAAAAGACCATGAGTTCACGTGCCCTATAATTTTCCATATAAATCCGCCACCGCGAGTGAGGTAGTTTGACAACCAGCGTAAAATTAGTCAATTTCTGATAACTCCCTATATCTAAGATTTATATGCTAGCAAAAGGTATAGAAGGTACATGGGTAAAATTTGCCCTAGTACCATTCAAGATTGAGCGACTTTGTCTTCCTCGAAATTT